AGGTGATTCACGTCTAACTCGTGACGTAGATGTACTTCACCAATCATAAATTCTCCGAAACGTTTTGAAAGTTCATAATAAAATTTTTGAGTGTGCAGCCATACTTATGAAACGGTTATAAGTCTCAAACTACAACAAAACTAATATTTACTACCTCATGGACTTTGCTAGTTTTCTCGGCTGATGTCAAGTGGACTGGAACACTTTTCTTACAAATTTAAATTACGAATGAATATTATGAGCAAAATCGGGAACTTTACCAACTATGATTACCTAATTTGGAAAAAATAGAAATAAGGTGTTAAATAGGAAAAGGCAACCGATCAGAAGTTTTATTAATTACAACAAAAAATTGGTTTTACCATGAAACCATTTTGATAACTATTTCAAAAAATAGATTTGTAAACGATTTTTAACTACAGAGATCCCAATAGTCATTGGCTATAACGATAATATTTTTAACTTAGAAAAAATAGAACTGATGAAAATCACTCATTTGTGACATCCTACTCTAAGATTGCTCAGCAGCGAACGGAAATAAATACAAGATTGGATACAAGATCATCATTCATTGTGGCTAATGTGACATATTTAGACTAATAAATCGTGATTTTGAGCTCTATATTCCAAAATTTATTTCCATAGTGACAGATGACTTACTAACTTAATACTGTCTTGGTAAGTTTAGAAACCATATCTTTAGACCCGAACTTCCGGGCATCCATTTCAATGACTAATATGTTTAAGATTATCATTAATATGTGCGCAATAGAAACTACTTTAAAGAAAAAGTTCGTACAAATCATTCAACTTTAGCAGAAAGAATGAGTTGATAAATAAATAAAAAAACTCTACAATGAATATTATCAAATACATAAGACAAATGCAAATCTATATGGTTTGAACTTATTTTTCTGTCATTATGCTTTATATTAACTGAATTATATTTTAGTACATTGTGAGTGTATATAAGATAGACATCTGTGAAAAAAAAATCACTTCCATACACAAAATGCTTGATAAAATAGTTTTGTTTCTTTTCTATCAGTAGTTTTAATAAATTGGTTTAACTCAAAGTTACTCTCACAAAATAACAGTTAACAGAATTGATCAGCATCATCCTCAAAAGTCGATAGTCTGACTCTTAGTTGATTTTATCTGTCCAAGTAACCTAGAATCTTTAAAAAATAATAAATGAAACTGAGTCCGTATACTGTAGCGAGATGGTTGAACATTTGCTATATTCTAGCACCGTAATTCCACAAAACGGTTAGGCAGTCATCATATATTATCACCATTGTATAATGAATACAAAAGGCATTAAAAATATCTTTCTTTGAGATTTATAACTAAAATCAGGAAATATGATACAATGGATTTCAAATTACTAAGTAAATAGTATGTTGGATGTGAGGATAACCAATATTTTTCACAGTTCAATTAAGTGCAATATCTGGCATTTTTGATCATTTTTCCACATATTGAGTGTATCACACCTTCATATAAGAGTATAATTTTCACTGTAGACCTCATCTCAGTTATGTAAAGCTATCTAAATATTATTTCCTATGAACACGCGACTTTAACGTATCTCAACTTTGTAGATGTAGAAAGAAAATAAAGTAAAAGTTAAAAAAAATAGATGGATGGTGGCTAGCGATGCAATCCTATTCAGGACTCACTGGCTAGATGTACCTGCATCCCACAGTCGATGGTAACCTTGAGACTCAAACACAGTATCAGTTGCTTCAAACGCAATCGCGTTATCCACAGACCTACTAAGTTCAGTTAGCCACTAATTCGTACAATGCAATGAAGTCCATTTCATATTGCGTTGGTTGTTTGAATCTTCTCATTGATGTTTAGCACTGAGATTGATCAGTCTCTTATTGGCATATGTGTATCCTGTACAAATTGTATCGATATTGCCTTAAGTCACAAGCATTCTGAACAAATACAGATGGTGGCTATCTGACGAACCGGAAGTGGGACTAAATGCTCGTCATGGATTCCACTGCTAGCTACCATCCATTATTGTTTGGAATGCTTGTGACTTAATGCGGTATCGAGGCAATCCTTATAGGATACACATTTACCAATAAGAGACTGATCAATTGCACTTCTCATCAATGGGCAGATTCAGGCAAATAATACAAAGTGAAGTAAAAGTTAGAGATTTAAATGAAATCTCCAGTGAAAATTACTCTTTCATATGTGACATTTACCCACTGGATTAACGGGAAAATACTGGATACTGTACATATGTTGAACATTAGGAGTTATGTGTTCTGTGGATTCACGTAAATTGGCTACTAAAATATATGGACATCTTAAACTCAATATTATATGTAATTAAATATTTTCAGTGATGAAGAAATTTCAATTAAGATATTACAGTTGAACAGTCTCATTTTATTTTTCGACTGCTGTGAATCTGATAGTTGAATTCATGAATCAATTAAAGCTAGATCGCTATAGAAGACCTGAAAGCACTGAACGGCCGCTCCATCCTAGCATGGAACTCTTCGAAATTGCGTATCGACGATCCCACCCCACGGAATCCGAACCCAGGACCTATTAGTCTGGCGCGCGAACGCTTAACCTCTAGAACACTGAGCCGGCATCCAACGTTGTTAATGTCTAACCTCAACGAATTCACGAAATTGTGCCACCGTCCATCATTGTCTTCAGTGAGCTACTATCTCAAAACAGACCCATTTAAATCTGTTTTTTTATAATTCAAAATGAAAACTACATATAAATATCATCTATTTATGCGAGCATAACATTAACACTGTGCGCATATAGATGTTTAATTAGTGACTAAGTTGAAATAATACACCAACATATTAATTATTACATTATTTATTGTATTATACTGGAAACATTAATGTACAATCATAAATAACACTATAATCTTATAAATGTTCCATAATGAATTAGCTTTTGTTTCATTATTAACATCATTTACAAGGAAAGTAAATATGATATTACTACCCATTTTATAACAGAAAAGAAAAGGAATGATATAAACATCTTAAAAATTACTCAATTAGTTAATAAATCAAACCTGTACGTACATCTCAATTATGAAGTGGTAAATTCAATTAAGTTATGATTAACTGTTTGAATTGGCCTATTCATTCAACACTGTAATATTTAATAAAAATAATCAATCTGGCGATCTAGTTATAAACGTACACATTGTCAAATGTTTGTTGAAACCACATTTATTCATTTTGACAATGAACAAAATCCTATTAATTTATGCACCTTTTTTAAAAAACGAATTTGTCGTTACAATATAACGAGTACGATTAATTGTATATTAGATTGACACAAAGTTTGTGTAAAAGAAAAATTGAATGGTTACGTATACAGATGGATAAAATTTCAGGTATTTTTAATGGTAAAATGGAAACTTTAAATGATTTATGGTCAATGGTGTAAACAAATAAAACTGTATAGTTGCATTATGATAGGTAATTGTTATTTGTTCATGGATTGATTGAGGTTAGACATTAACACCATTGGATGCCGGCTCAGTAGTCCAGTAGGTTAAGCGTTCGTGCATGAGACTGAAGGCCCTGGGTTCAAAGCTCGCAAGCGGGATCATGGATGGGCACTACTGAGGAGTTCCACAATGGGACGAAACGGCTGTCCAGTGCTTTCAAGTTTTCAATGGTGGTCTAACATCAATCGGTTCATGATCTTAATAAAAAAAATTAAGTCCTAAAAGCTACCAAAATAAACTTTTATTACATATTTCATTATTATTAATTAAAAAGTGAATAGATATAACATACTGACCATTCTACAAATATTCGTATTAAGTCTTTCGTCCAACTAAGGCTCATGAATCTGTACTAGTCTTGATTTGACATTATTTAAGACCGATCGTTTTAATTAGTTGAGTATGAATTATTTGGCTTATGGGTCATTATAGCTAACATCTATACATCAGTTATAGTATATAAAATCATTAGAATTGTGTAAATTTTCTCAGAATTTATATTTTATAACTGAATTTGTAAATTTTTAGTGGTAAATCAATTCCTTAAATAGATATCGTTATGATGTTTGTGAATATATTTTGAAGAATACTATATGGTGGTCATCTGTGGCATAGAATATCGATATTGATACAATATTAGTGACAACTTAAAAGTTAATCACAAATTTTATTCTACAGAATCTCAAACATTAGTTCTATTCCCAAACAATCAACAAGTATCTCTATTATTCGCTTACTTTTAAGATGTTTCCACAACTGTATTCAACATCATATCTTTACTTCTTAAAGTGTCTACTATAATAATTATTTACTCCGAAGAAATGGCTTACATTAAGTAACGAAACGCCAGAAATACAATTTTTCTACTCATTAAGATATAGCCAAGAATATATTTATCATTAATGAAGCAAAGGTTAAAATTGTTTTAAAATGATTTCGATAGACCTGATAAATCAACCTATAGTATTTCTATTAAATTACCAATTAAGATATTTGTTATATTAGTATCAGATAGTGTTTTGTTGAGATTGTAGTAATTTTAATAGTTAAGATCATGAGTCAATTAAAGCTAGACCACCATGGAAAACCTGGAAGCACTGGACGGCTGTTTAGTCCTATTATGGGACTCCTCAGCAGTAGACACTCACGACCCCACCTCACGGGATTCAAAACCAGGGCCTATCAGTCTCGCACGCGAGCGCGGGGTCGTGGATACGCACTGCCGAGGAGTCCCACAATAGGACGAAACGGCTGTCCAGTACTTCCAGGTTTTCCATGGTGGCCCAGCTTCAATTGATCCATGATATCAACTATTAATATTTGTTATATGTTAACAAATTTAAAGAAATATATTTTTTTAATGTGCCACCTAGTTATGAATCGAAAAACCAAAATTATCTTAATACATTTATTTAATGATTATAGATGTTTTTGGAATAATCTGAACTTTTAAAATGATTGCTTTTTTCGAAAAAACTTTTTGTAGAAAACTCATTATCCCGACGTCTATGCTCGTGAGCAATTAGCATTGAGAACTGGATTAACAGAAGCTAGAGTACAAGTTTGGTTTCAAAACAGACGTGCTAAATGGCGTAAACGTGAACGTTTAGGTGGAAGTGGTAGTATAATCAATGGATCAAGTGATTTGAGCTTACATTTATCTTTTTCAGAACAGAATGATTTACCTACACCTAATAATAATAATAATAATAACTCGTCAACATCAACAGCGGTGTTTGCTGCGGCCGCGGCTGCATGCGCTATGGCTGCAGCTGTTACTGCTGGTACTAATTTAAATGGTAATCAATTAACTACAACACAAAATCATTTAAACAAACATGTGAATAACGAAAATACAAATAAATATACCAATTTATTTCTAGGATCTAATTCATCTTCATTTATTCCTACTCCTAGTACTGTTGATACTCGACATATTGCTAGCATATTTGATCAACAGAATTCAGTCAGTACAAATTTCAATAATTATGAATCTAATTTAATTCATCATTCTAAACAGTTTTATGAATCACATCCATATTTATCGTTTACTTTGAATAAGTTAGCAAAATCTGGTATAAACTACAATGACATAAGTAGAAAACCATCTCATGAATGTGATTTAATAACTTCTGTAAATTCACTGAATAACGAGAAATTCGATAGTAAACATTTATTTAGAGATCAATTTAACGTTGCTCATAAATCGTCAAATATAAATACGGATTTATCTTTGCCAATTATTAACAAATCTGGATATATTCAACATAATGACGAATTGAATCAGCATCATCAACACCAACATTATCAACAACAACACAGTTCAACTGAACGCAATGCAAGTTCTATGCATGAAAGATGGCAGTATCTTACAGATGTCAAGCGTCATTCTGTAAAACATCCTTTTTCTTCTACTGATATTCCAACGGATCGACAGAGAAAGTATTCCTCGTCTCCAACTAGTATTGAGTGGTCATTAAATGCGCAAAATGACATTAAAAATAAAAATAATAATGAAGTTAATTTTAACTGTTACTCAGTATCTGAACCTGGAGATCAATTAGTTACTAATCAAATTAATATAAAAAAGAACGATGTACATAATCCACTTGAAACGGCAATAACAACGAATAATACTTCTATTAAAAATCATCATACACTTTGGAATTCAACAGAATTAACTAATTCCCTATATTTGAATAATACTTTCACTGACAATCATCAACTTGTGAATACTTCAATCAATGGGGATAAATCTATCTCTCCTACTAATAACAGTATTAATAACACTAAAAATGAAAATTTAAAATCGAATTTAAGATGGAATCTTTCAACAGAATTGAAAGAATCTAACTGGTTAGTTAATAAACAACATATGACTGATTTCTATGATGAACAAAATTCCACTGAAAGTAAGATATTCATCTAGTTTGAAATGATTTAATTAATGGAATTATGATATTATTAGTGAGTTTTTAGCCTTCTTTGTTTTATTTATGCTTTTTTGTTCCTTCATACAAATTGATGAATAATGCTTATTCAAAAACTAAATACAAGTATCTTTATGGGTTTTTGACTTTTAACAATTTTCTGATTGTATTGTTAACAGTTATGATTGAAATTCTAATCATGTACAATAATAAAGAGAAATATGAAACATCTAAAATACTCTTTGTGTATCATTTGAAAGGATTTGAACAATTTTGACGCGGATATTGATTTTGAGCCTACATGATAACCTATATGTCCATTACACCTCACTCTTACGGATTCGTTTGTATAGACTAAATACAGGACTCCATTGTGTATTATAAGTGTAAAAAATATTATTTGATGTGTTCACCATCTAACTTTCAACTTTTTCAACTCTTTAGGGAAACTGTTTTAAAGACAGTTTCAACAATGATCTTAAGTAGGTCTTATTGAAATATGACACAAACGTTTTGACGAAATTGAACATAGTAAAAAATGGAGTATAAGTGCATGGGGCAAAAATAAATTCAAGGATAATTAATTGTATTTCCTCTACAAAAATTATCCTAACCATTAATTTTATGTCTATGGTGAACTCATGATAACCTGATTTACACTAGCATTTTAGATATAAGTGGTGAAGTTTAAATGAAATATTTTTCATAGTACTCGTTATTTCTTCGCATATTAACTAACTGATACTTATGTATGGCTAAAATGTGTTATAACAGCTTCTTATAGTTAGTGTGCCCTTTCTTATGTCTATGAGAATCACAGATTTGTGTTCTCTCTAAAAAATTCGCGGTGAAGACATTTCAAGCTATAGATTAGAATGGACTGATAAACTACAATGAACTGTACGAAGAATAACTCAATAACAATAGAAAAAGCATCCAGAAATCCAACATCACACCATATTTCTAAATCATATCACTGGTGATATTGATTCTCGATTATATTTTCCTTTTGACTATCAGCTATCTATAAAAGTAGTTATTTGTGGTAATGTTTATCAGTACTTGATGTGAGTGGTTTGCTTATGTCATGTCGTTTGTAAAGATCATTTTACTGATATAAAATAGCTTAAACATCCTGACATTTCAGTTAATGATAAGCACTGCTAAAATTATAACAAAAGTTATGAGCGCTCAATATAAGTTACTTACCTTACATAAATTTGAATTGCGAACCTCCGCTTAGTGACCATAAACAGGTGTGATGTAGTAATTACAACATATATGAAACAGTTGACTAATGGTCAAGTGCTCGCGCGCGAAACCAGTAGGTCCTATGTTCGAATCTCTCAGGGGATGCGCACTGCTGAGGAGTCCCACAATAGGATGAAACGGCCGTCTAGTGCTTCCAGGTTTTCCATGGTGGTCTAGCTTCAACTGATTCATGATCTTAACCATTGAAACTACTATAATATCCACAAAAAACCAATCTGATATATGAAACAGTTGTAAGAAATAAAACGTTCTGAAAATTGATTTGACTACCACATTTTTGATATGCGTTCTGTCTAATTTTCGACAGATTTCTTCATGTATTCAATTCAAAACACATTTATTATATTCTCACCTATAGTCAGTGTTGTCTTAATATTTTGTTGACAGAACTACTAATAACTTTTAACTATCATATTTTAAAGTTACACTGAGCTTGTAATGTATTAACAGTGACATTATGGTCATATCTATAGAATAAATCGGAACTCATAAAATATATATCTTCGGTTAGAATAAGCATTTAATATATATTCTCTCTAGTGTTCTCTTAGTGTTCATGAAGTCGAGAATACTGTATCCAACTCCATGGAATACATTATCTGTTTTTTTATCTCAAACAATAAATAATAATTATTTCAAAAGAAAATAGCTAAAATGTTGACTATTTTCTCTTTATTCAACACATATGTTTTATGGATGTTATTTAATCATCCTTACTATACTTGGTTTAACTTGAGATTGAGTCAGTGAAAAGGTTTGAGAAAAAAATGCAATGTTATTCGGAAGAAGTTAAAGAAGACGAATGATATTAATTGAATCTTCATATTCGGTATTCATTAACCAGGAATCAAAACTTAATTCATTTTCATTCCTCAAAAGCCACATAAATAAACACTGATGACATGGAAAAGGCGAACGCCTAGAAGCACTAAACAGTGATGATTATCAGTATAAAATCACTGATAGAAATTCGAAATCGAAAATTCAAGATAAATGATAAATAACAGTTCCATGAAAAAACTCACTACATGAACATAGAATTTCAAAAAAATATTGAAACGAAAATCTTGAGAAACACACCTTTAAAATCTATGTTAGAAGTAATTTCCTTAAAACTCGTATTATACTCCTCGCCAGCCCTTTGACTTGTGAATATATTAAAGATAAATTCTGGCTTTTGGTCATATCACTGTTCATCTACAGGTTTACTTAGTATTGTAAAGCGTACTACATCATTCACTAAAAAAGGACCTTTTAAAACTTGATGTTTCACTCTCTGGCTTTTGAAAGGAGAATGAAAAACAATCAACAGATTAATTTTAGAATACCTAGTGAGTTTTAATCACACTGGCTTACCAGAAATATCTTTTCAGGTTCAGTATAATCTACAGCATACAAATTCTATAAAAAATGTGTTAGTAATAACATTTTAGCAGAAATCGAGAAGGGTTTCAGAAGCTGATTTGACCTGATCAAGTAAAGAATTAAGATAATATGTTTACTAATTAATTTTACTCTGTTAAATAGGGATAAACAGACATTTAATCAAATAATGTACTTCTCTATAAACATTCATAGTAACAACTGTTTACATTCAATGTCTATATTATGAAATTTTAACGAATCCGTATAAAACCTGGACTGATAAAATCATATATGTATAACTTATACATTTCTACTTTTAATTTAATAAATCATTTCGGACAAGTTGATGTTTTTTTAGTTTTACTAAGGGCTGACAAATACTTATTAAATGTCAGATTATTATATAATACAATTATAAAACGGTGAACCCATTACAATCAACAGATTTTGACTTTTTATTCTCTGTTACCATTGATAGCAGCACCAACCACGACATCGTCATTATTAACAACCATAAGTTCACGTTTTACTAACTTATAATAATATGAAGTAAAAAGAACACTCGAAAAGACTATAAAACATTTAATGAATAAATAAAAAGAAACATCATCATTTCAAACATGGATTATTGAAAGAATGTTTAGTGAAAATGGTAAGAAATATTCAAATGATATACATCTTAATTAATTATTCCCACGTCTAGTCAGGTCAGATCTTTATTGGTATGTATACAGACAATAATAGACAGAAAGATAGAAAGATAAGTAAATAAATGAATGAATGAATAGATGAATAAATGAATAGTTTTCATAGATTCAACTATACTTCAACTAATCTGAAATTCATAATTTCCAACTGTGTTCATCTGTCAGTTAAACTTGACAGTCTGCCATTGATAAAAGCCACAGTTTGATTATATTGTATTTAATCACATACATTTAAAGGTGAAAAAAAGCAGCAACAAAAAAACATTAAGGAAATAAATATAGTTGATAGTTCAGATTAGATTCTATCAGATCACGGGAAGCAACAAAAGTATATGAAAAAGAATTTAATGTAATTTTCATTCAATTAATGTAATACATAACGTTTAGATGTATTAAATTGTAACGGTTATGGTATTTATGTAACGTTTTTTCTTTGGTCAAAAAAAGATATAAATAACATTAGTAATTTTTGATACTCCATTTACACGAAGCACCACAAATTAATAGAGAGAAAATGATTAATAATAATTGGTACAAAAATATAAAGATGAAGTAATTAATTTTGTAATTAAGTCAATTAAATTTAGGTACTACATTTTATTGGTTGAGATCATTAGTCAGTTGAAGATAGATCACCATGGAAAACCTGGAAGCACTAGACTGCCGTTCCGTCTTATTGTGGGACTTCTCAGCAGTGCGCATCCATGATCATGCCTCGCGAGATTCAAACCCAGGGTCTATCAGTCTCGCGCGAGAGCGCTTAACTACTAAATCACTGAGCCGGCATCCAACGGTGTTAATGTCTAACTTCAACTAATCTAAGAAATTGAGCGACACATCCACCATTGTCATCAGTGAGTTACTATCTCACAAGAGACCTGGTTGAACTCCACTGGTCACTGCTTCTCACTAGAACTTCAGGATATACCTCTTGAAGCTTGTCACAAATGAGCATATGTTGATTAATATCAGAAGGAGTTTTGTGGATGTTATAGTAATTTTAATGGTTGAGATCATGAATCAGTTGAAGCTATTACACTTCAGTACTGAGTAATTAAGATAAGTTATTCATAAAAATATACTACAGTTTTATCTCAAAATATAGATATACATAATGTTCTAATAAATCAGTTATAGTATTTGAAACTGCACTAAAGAATGACTGATTTTCTAAATATGGTAGAATCATTCTGTCTTTCAAGGATGATGGTAAAACATATCACTAAGCATAAGGTAACAGAAACATTTCTAGGACTTTCTACCTCAAATTACATCACTTCTTGACATGAAATAAATTTTGTTTACTTTTAAAATGATTGACTGATCTAATGTGCTTTGAAGTATATATATATATATATATATATATATATATATATATATATATATATATATATATATATATATATAACGCCTGTTATCACTCGTGAAGAGGCATAGGCCACCCACCAGCATTCTCCATCCAACTCTGTCCTGGACAATGCCTTCTAGTTGCTATTCATCCTATTCATATCTGCTTCCGATTCTCAACGCAGCGTGTTCTTCAGCTATCCTATTTTTCGTTTCCCTTCAGGATTCTAAGTTATGGCAGTTTGATGATTTTCTTAATGTTTGTCCTATCCACTTCCAACGTCTTTTACTAATTTCCTCTTCAGTTGGAAGTTGGTTTGTTCTCTGCCACAGTAGGTTGTTGCTGATGGTATCTAGTCAACGGGCATTGAGTGTCCTGCATAAAAAATTCTTTATAAATACTTGTAGTTTTTGATGATGGTTGTAGTAGTTCTCCAAGCCTTGGCTCCGTACAGTAGAACTGCCTTGACGTTCGTATCGAAGATTGTGACTTTGATAATTATTATATATAATTTTTTTCACAA